TATTGAACCACTTCAATGTAGCCGCCTACAAAACGAGCCACTGAACTGGGCTAAATTTAGGCCCGGTTTTTTTAGCCGCGCTCCGCAAATTAAGTACAAATAGTGGTACCATGAATTTTTTCGCCTAGATGTAAAATGCCATGAACCGAATTAATCCATGTAAATCGAAAAGTCAAGTGAAATCAATTTTGCCTTACTTTGTCCTAAAAACGATCAAAGTAAAATGGAAAAGAAGACACCATTTGCACCTTAATATCTGCACACTGGTTGATGATTTTCAATGAACTCAAAATCAATTATGGGGTTTATAGGAAGGCGGACGCCACCTCTCAAAGACCCTACCCCCTTTGGTACTATTTTACGACATCCACGCTCGGTCTTACGACCCTAATTTTTATCTAATGGCACCTCTGATGCCAAAGTACACTAATTTAAAGGAAGGTCCTCCATTAAGACACGCAGCGTGGTTTTGATAACGAAGCACATAATTGTTTCACCACGTCTCTGAGTAGGACTTCAAAGGGTTTCGAGGTTTAAGAGTCTCTTGTTTATGGAAACCATTAGCAAGTCATGCCTACACAAAATGCCGACAAACTATAAATTTTGGAGTTCAGGACAAATGAAGAAAATTTCCATAAAATTTCGACCCAAAGTATAATTACTTGCAATTGGATTTCAGCTCTTATAATAACTTGAAAGACATTTTGAGTTTCTTGGAAATTGGGGGAATTCTTCATGTATCACAAATACCGTACACGTACATACACTATGCATAAAACGCTAAAAATGTCCAGAACTTGGCATAGCTGGCAACTCAAAACCACTGAAAGTAACCAAAAAGATTGCAAATGGAAATTTGGTTTAAATTTGTATAATATATCTTTCTTGGGCTGAAAATTTTTTTTTGTCATTTTTAAGTTTTTATTGCAAAAGAAAATGATTGAGCACAAATATTCTAATCAATGTTTGCACTTAAAAATGTGACAATTTTATTAGCGTTACATTTATTTGTCACAAATGGACATTAAAAATCGTTACTTAACGCCAATTTTAAGAAAAATGTGAATATTTTTTTATTATTTCCCATTTGAAAACATTTAAAGGGTTGCAATGAAATGCACTTAAAGGTATGCCAAAAAAGCTTTGCTAAAAACTTTAGGCATTAGTTTTGTTGACTCGAGACCCAAATTTAGGTACATTCGTTGCTCAATAAACATGCTTGCTAGCCCACCATCAAAAAAGTACTAAAAAACACAATTGGCATTAAATGTTTTTCAAAACTAAACATTAAGCGCAAATTTCAAAAAAGTTGCAACTTCTTCCTTGTGTAATTATTTAGAATTGAGCTTAAAAGTACTTCGATAAATAGAAAATGAGTGCAAAATAATTAATGTGGACATAACATTAAAAGACAAGCTAAGCGGTTTGATCAAAACTTCTAATCACAAATTTTTCAAAATATATAAATTCCTTGTCTTAAAATTGCTTAAAATTCCAAATACTCTGCAATATTAGGTGGTTTCTGTGATTGAAGTTTTTCGATAATTTTTTTCGATAATTTTCTCATATTTCAATATATCCAACACTTCAAATTAAAAAGTTTTTGAATTTCGTCTTATAATAATAACAAAAACACAAAAAAAGTTTAAAGAATTTCTCATAGGCAGGAAGCGTACCCATGATATCTCGAAAAGGGTTTTTTTCACAAAACATTTCGGCAGTAGTAATTGACCAAACAAATTATTTTGTCGGCCTCTATTAATTCCCAAAAAAACCTTAAATGAAAAAATCTTCTTAGAAAAAGCCAATACTCAGACAAAGTAATAATTTAGATTAACAAAAACTAAATTTGGAAATAGACGAAGGTGATGCATATGAAACGAAAAATTTCGTATCAAGTTCATCACTGCGTTTTAGACAGAATTATCCCAACAAATTCAACACTCTGAGCTCATGACCGCCAAAAAGGAGATTGCTAAGATTCTTTGACAACAAAAAGTGATAGTCTAACATAGTACAATTCATGGCTTGTTTTAAAATCTCAAATTTTCAGTTCAACAAGTTTTTTTTTAATTTTTGTTTTTTAAATTTTTAATTCAAACGGAAACGATATCATCTGATAACGCTCTTGACCTACTTAAAGTTGCGTAGAAAATGAACGCCAAACTTTTGGTTAGTTTTTGGCAGTTAGTGGAAAAAGGAACTAATCAATTTAATAGACATTTTTTTGTCCAGGAAACAAATCGAAAACTCTAAGACAAAATGATAATTTTGTGGTATTAATTGCTTCAACATTCGAGGCAAAACACAGAAATTTTTTATTCAAAATGGTAATTTTTATTTTAAGGGTTCGAAATGAGCCACCTTGAGAGTTTTCGATAGTTATTGCGCGCGGAATACCCTCAGAATATTTGCACATGCCACATGCATTCAGCTCAAAGTTTTTTGAAATTGGGTTGAAGTAAGCTAATTGGTATAAACAGTACGTTACTAGTCGTGAAAACATTGGATTTCAAACGGAGAAGGGGGAACGTCAGAAAAGTAAAATGTATTCTTCCAAACCATAACACGAGTGATTGTATGTCAAGGCTACGTTCTGACTGTTCCGATTGCGTTTCAAGGCTAATTAAAAAATTGAGGCTGAAACATTGACAAATTAATCGAAAAAAAAATACAAAAAAGAGGAAAACCTTTTTTCATTTTCACTTCGTTCCCAACTTACTAGTTTAAACTAAATAAGCCTAATTCAATTTGTAACGCATTAATCCACCGCTCAGGCGTCTTATAAGAACGGAAAATATCGCGCGTTCATAATCCCAAATCGGCCAAATTAGCAATACAAAGCATGAAGAAAAAGTTCGTTCATTTTTTCGCAACATCTCCTAAAATCACGCAGGTTGCAGCGTTGTTTTGAATGCCGCCAGGCACTACACTTTTGAATACCTATAGTTACCATGGTTTGTCATAGTCCGTTAGTCTAGACAAGTTTCGGTTGCGGTGGTCCTGCCATTCTTTGTAGTTTTTGGGTCGCGCCGCTTTTAACGAATCGTACGTAGTTTATAACGTCTATTGGCAAAAATTGATTTCACTTTTTCCTTTCCCTCGAGCTATAACCTGCCTAGTCGTCAGGGGAAGATCTAGGATTTTCTCAAGAGGGGATTTTCAAAAACTTGGTCGACCTTTTTTTTTAGGTCGACCAAATTGGTTTTCCGACCACTCCCACAAAACTAAAAAGACCCGTTTTTGGGCACTTCTTGAATAATTTGCGTGCTCCACTTCAAAATTAGTATATATTTGCGCCAAAAGCGCTTTTTAGGGTTACGTGGCCTATAATGGATGTCATAAAATACTACCAAAGGGAATCGAATCCCTGAGGGGAAAGAAACGTCCGCCCCCACACTCCCCTCCGTATATCCACCCCTGCTAGTCGTGAAGGTTTACCAGTCGTTCAGGCCTTAGCTCCTCGACTAGTTTCTTGTCAATCTCAAGTTACCCGGGCTGACCTTCATACGCCGAAAATGCTTTTCATACAATTCCATACATTAAGTGTGCGGAAAACTGCTTCTCATACAACTTTCCTAAAATTTCGCAAAATGGTTAAAAAAAGAATTAAAAATATTTTCTGTGGCTGTTTGATACTAATAAAACAGTCTGGCGAGGAAAAAATTGTGGTTGTTCCCAAATATGGAAATTGTGTGACGATCATTTGTCTGATGGCGACACAAAAAATTTTCCAAGTAATTTTGACATTGGCCCAAAAACTTTTTTGTTCTTTCAACTGCAAAACGAATTTGGTAGACAAACAAACTTTTTTGTAGACAAACAAACTTTTTGGTAGACAAATAAACGAATTTGGTAGACAAACAAACTTTTTTGTTCTTTCAACTGCAAAACGAATTTGGTAGACAAACAAACGTTCCAAAACGCTCAAAACGCCTAATTATTTTGAATGGCATGTATATCAAGGCCTAGATCAAATCATGGATAATCAAAAGCTCAAACTTTGAAAATTATCATCTTTGAAAATTTTTGCCAAAATTTAAAAGTTTGTAACTTTCATTATATCATTTAAGAAAGTCAGCTTTAAGACAATTCAGGACGTGTTGTATGCATTGTAAATGCAAGACCGTCGAATTTTTGTTGCTTTGAGTAAACCAAGGTCTTTGTAATTTGCCTTCGGTTACGAACACAACCCAAAAATTTTCAGAAATTATTTTAGAAAAAAAGCAAATTTTGATTTAAGGAAAAATATTTATATTTAAGGAAAATAAATATTTAAGGAAAAATATTTATCACGAGGCCAAACTGTGCATTTCGTGCATTGTAAGCGAATTCCGCAACAAGGAGGCTCCCTTTGTTCTTCTTTTGTTCTTTAATTTCCTTTGATCGTTCCGACAAAATTTTCACATGTTTAAAGACTTGTCTCTGGAATCCAGGAACATACAGACACAAAATTGTTCTCCTATCCAGTGCACAGTTTGGCCTCGTAATGATCATACAGTTTTCATAAATGGAAAAATGCTTATCATAGAGATTTCATACAAATTTCTGTACGTTTGGCATTGTATGGAATTGTATGGTAAGAAGTTTTTTCATTTATGAAAATTGTATGATAAGAAGTTTTGGTCAACCCGGGTAAGCAACAAGCGTTCTGCCAGTCGAAATATTATTCTGACTTTGTCTCGGCTGATACCAAACATCTTTCTCCGTGTACTTATGTCGGCATGTCTAGAAAAATGATTTAGATCAAAATTCATTGAAAAATTGCAATGACCAATTGGACTTTCCGAGCTCTCCGAAAATACTATGAAGACCCTATTTTGTCGAAAAAATGACTTTTTGAGCATTTAAAAAAAAATTGACCAAAAAATTGCGTTTTTTACATTGGCGCCAAAGGCGCCTTTAGAAAATCTTTGATGTTGGCCAACCAAATTGGATCTCATCCACATACAAATTTGATACAAAATTATGGAACTCTCATACAAAATTATGGAACTCACCCTGTGTGTATGAATTTGTTAAGCATGTCCATCATTCGGGCCATGATTTCTCTGTCAACCGAATCCCAGTCGACAAACACTGATTTCGGCATCCCGAAAAGATACTGCAACTCCCCGCCCATCGCAGACCCATTGACTTCCAGGGCCCCGAACGTCAAATCTAGAGGACTGACTCGATCAAGTGTGAACAGATATGGCCTCTTATACGCGAACTTCTCTAAATTCTCAAAAAACTCGTTTATGGGTAAAACTAGTTTCTTGTCCATTAGCATCGATGATAAAAATGCAAACCGCGCTGAGGCAGTTTCGTAATTTTGGTTCTCCATGTTGAAGTATTCGTGTTTTATAAAGTCGCATTGAATGCCATTTAGGTTTTCTGAATCGCAAATTAAGCTTTTCACGTCGCTTTCGAAATCTTCAACTGTGTAAAAATTCACTTCCGGTTTGAAATCAATTTCAGGGCGCACTTGATGTGAAAAATAAGCACCGCTGTTGGTGTTAATGCCAATTAAAATATCAATTTTGCTTAGTCGAGCTAAGGATTGTCTGACTATTTTTTCCGATTCGGGCGACCAATAATCATCAAACATTTTCATCTCTCGTGATATTCGATTTAAATCTAAAACAGATACTTTTTTCAGACAATCGTCTAGATTAGATTTTGTTTCTTCTTTAGTTTCGGAGTAAATTTTACCGCAGCCAAGCTTGTCAAGAACTTTTGCTGTAGTTTGTTCAGTTTTGAACATAGTTTGTCGCGCCAATGGGTTTCCTGAAAGCAAAATTAGCCTCTGGGCTAGGCTCGAATCTTCTAGAAGAAGTTGAATAGCCACTGGAACCCCAGACGAAACAGCCATAAGTGTCATTTTAGTTGGATCTGCTCCAAAAAGATGTGCGAAGTTTTGAACCCAATTAAGCGCCATTTTAACGTCACTTAAGCCCACATTTTGACCAAAGAGTGCTTTATCTAGTTGTAAGAAACCTTGAGGGCCGTTTCGAAAATTAGCCACGATAATCATCGATCGAGAATACGACGCGAGAAATGTCCCGTTTAGCAGAACAGACTGCAAAAGAGCGTTATTTGGAACTTGTCCCCATGTATGGTACATAATATCTCGTGAGTCCAAAAACACTAAAATTGGCACTTTTTTCGAGTGGTTTGGAGTCCAGACTGAAAGCCGAAGACAATCCTCGTCTTCGTGTTCGTTTGCGTACAGCCCGTGACATTTCAGCCGATTTAAGCCAAAGTTAACAGTGTTTTCGTAAATTGGTTTTTCGAACGGTTTCGGCTGTGCGAACCGATCGCTTAGGTGAGACTTTTTTGTCCCTATTGGGTTGGCGTACGGTATGTTTAAATACTGCTGCACGTCTCTCAACTGTTCGCCTTGAATTTGGCCGAAATTTTCAATGTTGATAAATTTTTCCAGAGAAAACACATATTTTGGTAGTGTAAATATGATCAAAAAAATGAACTGAGATACAATCGTCGCCGTGCTGAAGGTTGCTGGTTCTTTAAATTTCTCCATTCTTTAAAGGGATCATTTTGTCAGCAACTTCTTACGCTAAAACAAAAAACTACATTTTTTTTGTGTTGCAAATATAATCAAGATATGAATACGGATTCGTTTTGATAGCCGCATTTTGAAGCTTTAGTGAGAATAAAAGCTCAAAAGAACCACGTGCTCAAAAATCTTCCGAAACTTCAGAGATCAGCCTTTGGTCGAAACAATCTAAAAAACCATAACTACAAGTACTAGATATGCCGCTCCTCTTCAATTATTAACAAATGATTAGTTTAAAAATATTTATTTCATAGTTGGTTTTTTCATTAATTATTTACAATGCCTTGTACAAAGCGGATGAATTTATTTCAAAATATGCTTTTGAGATTGGTGGAAGCTAATAAAAATGATGAACAGATATGTTTTCAGCGCTCGCAATAGTCTTTGGTAGGTTAAAAACTGCGCTTGAGTTAGACTCCCCGTTGCCTTCCCATAAAACATATTCTTTGATGTTTTTTTGCAGGTGATACAAAAAAGAGAGCATTAAATCTAAAAAGAAAGAAAAAGAGAAAAAAAATTGTTTCTTCTCTGAAAAAACGGAAGGTGCTTTGGCGACTTGTTAACAATCGTTCAGTTCATTAATTTTCAAATGTCTTAAGCTCTCGTTTGTGGTGATTGAAGTGTTTGCGCTTGGCGGCACAAAATTCGAAAGAAACATTCAAATTTTGAAGAAGCTGGCACAAAAATCTTAGCCGGTTCTTTAAAAGGAAAGCGAGTCAATTTTACTGAAGAGAATCGGTTTCGGTTGTTGAGGTGAACCTTTGATGAATTATAAAACGGTTATATTGGTTATGTTAAACGGTTAAACGGTTATATTATATTGGTATCGTTAAAAAACGCTGAGTCACAGTATGAAAAAAACGAGATGGTACCAGATATTAATCATGACTAAATTTGGTAGGAAACAATACTTTTTACAAAACTTATAACGATTTATAACTTGGGAAAATTGTATCCACCAAGATTGACCGAAATGGAGTTTTACTAAAAAATAATGCAAATATTTTAGCGAAAACCGTTTGTTTATGACAAGAAACGAGTTCGTATATAACAAAAAGTGTCCGAATTCAACAATTGAAAGGTCCAAAAAAGTAATCAATTCAAAACTATTAAACTCGTAATTCGTTCGAATTAACAGGGTTCCTACAAAAAACCTATATCATGTTCAAATTTCTCAGGGGCAGATCTAAGATTTTTTCGAGAGCAGAAAGGGGGGGGGGGCAGGTTTTCAAAAACATTTTTGAAAAAAATTTGGTGACTCTTTTTAGGTCGACTACATTGAGTTTTTGAGCACTCCCAGAACATTAGTAGACGGTATTTTGACGGCACCCCAGGCACACTTTTGAAAAAAAAAAACACGTCAAAAAGTAGTTTTTGAGCACTTTTTGGCGCTCGTCCCCCTCAAATTAGTATATATAGACGCCCTTGAAAAAATTTTAGGGTCGCTCAGCCAAAAATGGATTTCTTACCAAGTACCAAAAGGGGACCCTTTGGGTCGACACGAACTCAAAGCCCTGTGGCGGGGGCTTCCCCTCTAAATCCGCCCCTGGAACTTCTAATAAGATGTGAAGGACTTTTTCTCTCTACAACTTACAAAAATCTCAATAAATTTGAAAAAAAAAATCATATCGCGGTGTTTGAACTATTAAACAAATCTAATATAAGAAATTTAAAGCTTTAAAGGGCTAAAAAATCAATCAGTTTTCCGCTGATATTGGATTGAAGCTCAAAAATGATGTTTTGAAGAGAAAACATCAATTTTATTACGCGTATTTTAGTCGATCTGGAATGGCAGCACTCTAGATTTTCAAAAAAAAACTGAAAACTGTTTTCATCAATCAATAAAGCTTGATCGGATGGTATAGGCGGTATAATAAATGCGGAAGCTAAAAGATTGCAAGTTATAAAGCATAAGACAACATGATAAAATATCGGCTGTCAAGCTAATTATTTCTTTATGCTAAAACTGAAATGCTTTAGGGTATACAATTTGGTACATCTAGCATTTATTCTGCATCTTGGAAACTCATTTTTCATTTTTCTGTTTAAAAAAATACTGAAGACACTTTGCCCAAATTGATCTAATGACAGACCACATAAGGCTGTACAGCAGTAAAAACAACTGAAATTTAAACTGTGCTTCTTTGAAATGGCAAATTGCTATGCCAAAAAGCTGCAATTATAAGAAGACAATAATACAAGGTGTATTCAAAACTGATGATTTAGAAATAATTTTCTATTACTGCATGCTTGTAAATTTCGCAGCGAGGTAAGAAAAATAGAAGGTAGCATCTTTATTTTTTACCCCTCAGCGCGTTAGCCTTTTGATAATAGTAAATGTTAGTTATTAGACCCATATTTCAAACCCTGGTCTCAGGTGGTTTTTTCTATGTACCACAGAAAAACTCGGTTGCCAAATTGGTTACATATGGTAGCCTTCGGCACTCTAAAAGATACATTTAAATTATCATTTGATAGCTAAACAGCCAGCGGCCTTGATTTTGATCAGCTTTGGTACCGCATTTCTGTTCTTTTTGAGACAATTGTGATAATTTTTGGTCGATTCAACACTAGATTCATTTTGGACTGATTCAAAACTAGATTTGAACCAAATAGTTGATTGCTGTGCAAAATGCAAAATACAATCCAAATCGGTTGTTTAAAAAAGTATTGCAAACATTTTCATTTTTATCGGTTGGTTGAGTGGGCGGGACAAGGTTAAGGAAACATTACCTTAGGTTCCCGAAAAAAAAGTAATTTACATTTTCTGTCACGTAAGGTTTGATGTTGTTTTTCTTCTCATGTCGAAAATAGTGACTAGATGTGGCCGACCACTCAATAATTAAACTACAAACAAACAAACTTTGAACAGTTTTTCTCGTCATCTAAAAAATATAATTGAAATCTATCATTGCAGCGCAAATCACGGTGCAGCTAATGACATATGCTAGTGATGTTTGTTTGTTGTGACAAAAATTTTACAACGAACTCTAACTTATAAAAAATTTAGCCAACGGACCCCGGTTGCCAACAATATATGGTTTGTATGGAAAATATCTAATCATATGTCCTGCAAAAAGTTTTGTCGAAAGCTATGAAATAGCTTTTTTACTGCTAGAGTTTTCATCTGTACAGATTCCAATTACCACAAAAGCTGTTGAAAAAAGATTTAAATTAATTTTTACCATACAAACCAAACGACGCATTCATTTTTTCTCTCGCTAGTTTACAGGTAGCTAGTTCGAAGGCGACGGGTTTAGACCAAGACACAAAAGTTTAGTACTTTCTGCTGTCCACAGCCCCAGAAGAGTAGTTCGAGAGCATTATTTTAGACTAGTTTGCAATAAAGAAATTATTCGCGATACCATATTCAGTTCCATAGAAATCACAAACGGCACCACTTTTTGTGAGAAACCAAATTTTAACATTTCATGAAAAAAACTTGCTTTTACGTCATTCCAGGTGTTGCCAAGATAAAAAAAAAGTTGTGCAATTATTTGTCGGATAAATTTTGGAAAGAGCTTTATTCTAACGGTTTGACAGGTCGGCCTGTATGGAAACATGTATGGTGCAATTTATGGTTGCACATTTTGGTCAACTCGGGGATAGCTGGGAAACTGTCGACAATACCAAAAGCTTAGGCGAAAAAGCAGTGCGAAATACTGCGGAATCGGTTAATAAGAGATTCTGAATAAAAAGTGAAACCCTGCAATCCGCGACAAGGCAACTTTTCTTTGCTCTTCAATGAACACAATTAGCTGACCACGAATCGTTTGCATTATTAGGTATTAGCCAGTAAATTGCCCGCCTAATCAGTTTAGTGAATATTTTCAAAGAATAGTTAAAAGCTTGTTTCCGGATTCCAGTACCTACACACAGTTTTCTGCTGTGAAAATGAAAACAGCCTGGCCTCGTAATGGTTGAAGAGCTCAAAAAAACTGAAAAAAAAACAACTTATTAATTCTGAAGCTTTTTCATGAAAAAAGACATGGCCCTAAATATCTTGCATATTCAAGATTTTGGTATTGTTGAGACTTTTGTGACAAATTAAAAAGAGAAACCTGACCAAAATCAACACCTTTTTATTCTGCTGGGAATTTCAACAATGAAAATTCATTTTCGAAACTATAACCTATTTAGTTTTCTTCGCATTTTTTGTACATTTTTATCGGAGAGCGTAGTTGGCCTTTATTTGAGCAAGCGCATTTTTTCTTAAAGTAGATAACAAATCGAAAGTCAAACCATGAAATATCTAATTTGAGCGCAAAAAAGTGTCAAACTTCTTCCTGGAAAAAAACAGCGAAAAGTTCTACCCGAATAAATGATAAACCCACCTATTTAGGTTATAAACTTTTTAAAACTTCGTCAACACTTAATTTAAAAGCCGAAGTTTGAAACGTTGTTTTTTGGATTTTTCTAAAACAAAATTTTACCTTGTGTTATCAAAGTTTTTGACGGTAAGCTCTGTTTTCATCTTAACTAAAGTACTTTTCAGCGCTTATAGTATTTTGTTTGGGTCGCAAATTCAGTAAAATGACTTTTATTGTTTTCATCGGGACTGAAAGTTTCGTCGCTGTCTTCTGGAAGATAATGAAATCTCCCGAAGCTATATTGGTTGTAAATCAGAAATTAGAATGCCAAATTCAAATCAAAAAAGAAAATGAATGGTTGTAAACTTTCCAGCTTTGTCCCAGTGAACTTTTTTGGTGCAAAAAGGACAAATCTAATTCAGTTCACTACTCTATGAAATTGCAAAAAAAGTCTTTCCTTGCATTCAATTATATTTTATGCGATGCCCTGAATCGAAGCAGTCTACTTTCAATCCGCTCTTTCACATTTGATTTTCAACTTGTCATAGGGTATCAAAATTAGGTTTGGTGATCAGCAAATTTACTATTTTTGAACACCCGCATTGGCAAATCTATGACTGCAATCGATTATCGCAAGTAAAACCTACAGCTCAGTAATCTAGTTTTTTTGATGCACTAGGCAATGGATTT